AACTGTGAAATATGATGTATGAGGAACTATGTAATGTTTTGAACGACCAACAATAAAAAAAAAAAGAAAAAAAAATCACATATGTTGGAAGGGCTGAGGATATAGCTCAGTTGGTAGAGTGATTGCCTCACATGCACAAGGCCCTGGGTTCAATCCCCAGCACCACAAAATATATAATACACACATACTATATATAAATACAAGAAAGAAACTAAATCCCTATCTTCCAACCTGCACAAAAAAAATCAACTCAAAATGGATAAAAGACCTAGGAATTAATACTAGAAACTTTGCAACTGCTAGAAGAAAACATAGGGTCAACACTCCATCATATTGGTGCCAGCACCAATTTATTCAACAAAATACCTAAAGCTAAAGAAATAAAACCAAGAATCAATAAATAGGATGGCATTAAATATACATGCTTCTACAAAGCAAAGGAAATGATTAAGAGTGTGAGAGAGAACCTACAGAACAGAAGAAAATCTTTGCCAGCTGCTCTTGGCATGGGATTAACATCCAGAATATCTAAATAACTCAAAAAACTTAACACCAAAAAAACAAGTAACCCAAATCAACAAATGGGAGAAAGAACTAAACAGACATTTCTCAAAAGAAGAAACACAAATGGACAACAAATATCTGAAAAAACATTCAACATCTCTAGCAATCAGGGAAATGCAAACCAACACTACACTACGATTTCATCTCATTCCAGTTAGAATGGCAACAATCAAAAATACAAACAGGGGGCCGGGGATGTGGCTCAGTTGTAGAGTGCTTGCCCAGCATGCATGACATACTGGGTTCAATCTCCAGCACCACATAAAAATAAATGAATAAAAATAAAGGTCCATCAACAACTAAAAAGATATATTAATTTTTTAAAAAAAGAATACAAAGAATAATAAATGCTAGCGAGGTTGTGGGGGGAAAAGTACACTTGTACATTGTTGGTGGGGCTGCAGACTAGAACAACCACTCTGGAAAGCAATACAGAGCTTCCTTTAAAAATAAGAATGAAACCACCATATGACTCCCCTATCCCACTCCTCAGTATTTATCCAAAAGAACTAAAATCAGCACAGTAGGGATGCAGCCACATCAGTGTTTATAGCAGCACAATTCACAATAACCAAGCTGTGGAGCCAATCTAGGTGCTCTTCAATGGATGAATGAAAATGTGATACATACATACAATGGCATTTTACTCAGCCATAAAGATGAAACAATTGCACCTGCCAGTAAATGGATAAAAATGGAGAAAATCATGCTAAATGAAATAAGCCAGACTCAGAAAGTCAAAGGTTGGGTTTCTGTCTCATATGTGGAAGACAGACCAAAAAAAAGGGAAAAAAATGCAATGGGGGCAGGGGGATCAGATATCATAAAGATCTAGGGAAGATCAATGGAGAAGGAGGAGATTGAGAGCAAGAGAGGGGGGATGCGAAAGGGAAGGAAATGAGGAATGAGCAAGATCATGTTATGTGTATATATAAATATATCACAGGGAGTTCTACCTTTGTGTATATGTAGAAAGCACCAATGAAAAATAACTAAATAAATTAGTGAAAGAAAAATCAGCACAAGAAAAAAAAATAGGGGGAGGGAGAATGGGAGGGAAAAGAGAACAGAGACTGAAATAGGGTAAATAAAATTCTATGCATGCATGATATTGTCAAATGAGCCCAACTACTCTACATAACTATAATGTTCTAATTTTAAAAAATTAGTCTGAGCCCTTTTCCTACCTCCAAAAGATGACACAGAGATAAGTAAATGAAAAGGTCCCACATTCTGAATAAATCACAGATGTTTACACCTGTTAAGCCTGACTTCACATCTCCTAAATAATTCAGAGCAAGGTCTTAAATCTCAAACTTCCTGGCTTCTAAGAACAATGCTACCACTTACTAAGAATTCCCCTTCCTCCAGTCTCCAGTGACATGTTCCTCACTTCCTTCTGAGCCCTCTCCAGCAGCATCCTTAAAGTTCATATTTCTGACAGTCTGTTCAAGGCAGTTTGGGCTTTCTCCTTCATGTTACTTAAAATTTTTCCAGCTCTCCCCACTGCCTGATTCCAAAGCCAAACTCCCATATTTTAGGTATTTGTTACTGCAACACTGTACTTCCAGTACCAAAGCCTATAGAAGATTTCTAATGCTCTGCAAAAAAAAATTACCAAATAATCAGTGACATATGAAAACACCCAATTTATTATCTCATAGTCCCATGGGTTAGGAGTCAGTTGTAGCTTACCTGAATTCTCCGTTCAGGGTCTCACAGGGCCAAAAACAGTGTCCATGCTATCTCAGCCTCAAAGTCCTTTACAAACTCACTAATTGGCAGAATTCAGTCGTTGTAAATGAGGAGTAAAATCCCAGATTTCTTGCTGGCTATCAGCCAAGGAACATTCTCACCTGCTTGAGGACAACCCTCAAGTCCTTGCCACATTCCTCTCACAGCATAGCTGTTTGCTTCTACTAGGCCAATAGATATCTGCTCCAGCTTCTTGTCTCTTTTAAGGACTCCCTGATTAGGCCAGACCCACCCAGAAAAACTTCAATTTAAATCACAGGAATGAAATTCCTTCATATTCTTAAATCTTGCCCATATTGAACAGGCTAGAATTATGCAGGATAAACATGCAGGGGGTGGGAATGTTCAGTCAGCCCAAGAATTTTAAACCATCAGAGCAGCATTCCACCCATCTTTCCCCTCTAACCTGGGATGCTTTCTTGCATTCCTGGTGTCTTGTAGTGCATCCAAAGTGTTCTGTATGTTTATTCTTCTTCCTCTCCCCAGTTTTCATCACCTACTCCTGGATAGATGCTTTTGCTTTAAAGCAGTGTGACTTCCACTTGCATGCTCCTTGTTCTCTGTAAAACTGATTGGAGAGAAGTGATTAAGCCAATCGTCCTTCTGGGAAGCAACCCAGAAAAGGCCAACCAGACATGCAACTGTACGTGGCAATAATTTTTATACTTCCTCTTTTATTTTTCTGAAGTTAATGAATATGGACATGCATTCACAGATACATAAAAGAAAATTAACGTAATTAAGGAGGTTCTTAATAAGGTCTATCTAGGGCTGGGGTTGTAGCTCAGTGGCAGAGCGCTTGCCTCACACATGTGAGGCACTGGTTTCGATCCTCAGCACCACATAAATATAAATAAAATAATAAAAATATTGTGTCCATGTATAACTAAAAAGTATCTAATAAAAAATAAGTCTAGTATGAAGTATTTAACACTCTCCAACCCCTTAAAAAGTATATATTTTTATAAAATAAAAATTCTAACACATTTTTTTTTAATTTGCCAGAGAATTCACTATTGTACACAATTGTTGCTGCTCTGTGCATCTCTAGTTCAGCTCTTACTTAGGGTACAATTCATTGGTTAACATAAATTTTTATTCTTCTACATCCACTGGGAAAAAACACTTATTTTTTTTGTCCTTCCTTGTCTGGCAAATCCTTTCTTGCCTGATCACCTTGTAGTTAAAACTTATAAATATATTAACTATATGTACTATAAAAGTTGTAGTTTCCTGATTTCAGCAGTCAAGTTCGGTATGTCTATGGCGACAGCATGAACCTTCATATGCATGTGAAATGAAGCACACATTCTGAAAAGTCATTAGATAAAAAAGAAAACACCCTCCCCCACCCTCCTTTCTCCCCCACAGTCAGTGTCTATTTTTAGAAACTGACAAAGCATCATTCAATGAATTCAACAAAATCACATTATACAAATATATCACTGGGAATTCTACCTATATATGGAAAGCATCAATTTAAAATAAATAAATAAATGAGATAAAAGAAGATCAGTAGAGGAAGGAGAATGGGGGAGAAGGGGAGGGAAAGGGGAGTAATGGGGACTGAAATGGAGTAAATTCAACTCCATGCATATATGATTTTCTCAAAATGATTTTACAATGTATAATTATAATGCTCCAATAAAAATTCAAAAATATGTCTGTGTTAATGTATGTGCTACTATCCACAGCATTATAAAAGGGAAACCACTCCTTCAGACTTTACACTATTACTATTTGCTAACTTTCAGGTAACAATCTGACTGTTAAAAGAACCAAGTACAGAAGCAGATCAAGGCTTTTGCTCCTCTACTACAAACAGGGGGCCCGTTCACTAGTCTAAAAGGATTTAGCTGCTGATGTTCTCCCCATAAAGCACTTACCAATATTTTTCAGATTTAATAAAGGAAATTAGAGAGCTATAGTCAACCCAAGGGCAAGTGTTAATTGTTATATAAGGATTTCTAATCTCAATACCTAGTACAACTTGACAGGTTGAGAGAACTTTATTACAGGAAACAATGAGCATAATTAAGAAATGGGCATAAATTGTTTTATATAATACATGATTATGAGATTAAATACCTAAAAAAATTTGAAGTACATAATTATTTTTAAACACTTTTAAAAATCACATACAATCTTAAAACCAAAAGCAATTTATTTACAAAATTTCTTACTTGACCAGGAGTGAGAGCCAAGAAACAATATATCAACAATACACAAAAACCTCACCAATAGTCTTTAAGTCAATTTATACAAGGCAACAACAAAAGCAGCTCTTGACTACTGGGCTAGAAAGATGTCCTTCTGAGAATCCTTCAATTTCACAAGAACATATATTTAACCAAAGGGGTCTATGCAAGTAGCACTGTGATACTTATAGGCTCAGCTGAGTGGCAGCCTCTAGAGTGCTGTTCCCTGTCTACCTTACACAGATGCTTCACCACTTTTGTTCATCTCTCTGTCAGCTTCTTCAGCTTTTTTCTCTTTTTCTCCTCCTTTGTCAGTTTTCCCTTTTTCTCCTCTGTTGACTCCTTCCTCCTTTTCTCCTCCACTCTCAGCTCCTTTCTTGACTTTCTCTTCTCCTCCAATGTCAATTCCTTTCTCTTTATTCTCTTCTCCATTGATTTCTTTCTCTCCTTCTTTGTCCTGAACACTGATGTAAACAGCTTTGTTATAGCCTTCCCGGTTCCGAGCAATTTCAATTGCAAAAAACTGGATCCTGGGGGCTAGAAGGTCAATAGAATTGATTATTGTCTTAGTCTCAGGTAATTTCCTAAATCTACTGGAAATATACAGATCCAACTGAATTAACACACAAGCCATTCAAATATAGTCATGAACTTCAGAGATCTTGAATTCTCATCTTGCACCAATGAGAATGAAAATAGTTAACCATTCCAAAATTACTTTTAAAAACAGCAATGTGATCTTTAAATATATAACAAATAATTCAGGCATGGTGGCTCAGGCATGTAATCCCAGTAACTCAGGACACTAAGGAAGGAGGACCATAATTATAACGTCAACCTTGGCAAGGTCAAGGGCAGCACCCACAATTTAGCAAGACCCTGTCTCACAGTTAAAAATGAAAAGCACTGAGGAAGTAGCTCAGTAGTGAAGCACCGCTGAGTTCAAGCCCCAGTATGATCACCCCCCCAAAAAAAGATATAACAAGGGCTGGGGTTGTGGCTCAGTGGTAGAGCACTTTCCTCACATTTATGAGGCGCTGGATTCATCATTCCATCCTCAGCACCACAAAAAATAAATAAATAAATAAATAAATGTATCGTGTCCATCTACAACTAAAAATATTTTGAAAGAAAAACATAACAAATGTTATGTTTTTCAATCTAACTATACATATCACTGATTCAGTAAAATCAGACTCCTCATCCTCCTTACAAAACAATTCCGGAGGCAAGAAACTCACCAAAGATGGTGTTCTCCTCAGTGTAGCCCTGAGAACAATCCAGTCTCAGCAAAGTACCATAGTTGAAGTCTTCTACGATTCCATCAAACTTCAAGCAAAATGGCCTCCATTTCTACAAAGACATAAGACAATGCCTTAGCTGACAAATGCAAAAGAGTGATGTCCTCATGCCAAGAGAGGGGCTTCCACTTTCCAATAAGGAAGTCATTTTACCAAAGTGGAAAAGACCAGGATTGAGGTCACTACTGGTTTCATAGTGAAACAGTATCGTTCTGTGCTATTATCTTTAGGCTGGTATTTCCCTACATAGACTATATTTTAACTTAAAAATACATCTGAATCCTTTACTTTGGAATTAAAATGTGATTTCTTAAACCAGTTCTGTTTTCTTTTGAAGTTATTTGCTAGCTCAGGCAAAATATTCACCCTCACTAAAGCACACATGAAACAAAGAAGGCAGGAATTTGGCCCAAGTCAGAAAGTTAGATTTTAAAAAAGAAGTCCTATCAGTAGTAGTCATTTTCCAAAGATCAGTAACAGCTTGTTAGGAGTTAAAAGTTCAGATTCTTGGGCTGGGGCTTTGGCTCAAGCAGTAGCGCGCTCGTCTGGCATGCATGCAGCCGGGGTTCAATCCTCAGCACCACATACAAACAAAGATATTGTGTCTGCCGAAAATAAATATTAAAAAAAATATATATATATATATATTCTCTCTCTCTTTAAAAAAATATATTAGCAATAATTATTTTAAAAAAAAGAGTACTGGTGCTAACAATAAAAGATAATTACATAAGCAATGAGAAATATAAGTTTCCCAGTTATCCATGGCCTATAATCACATGAACATAAATACTGAGAATAAAAACACCTTCCAGGGACTAGGGTTATAGCTCAGTGGTAGAGCACTTGCCTAGCATGTGTGAGGCACTGGGTTTGATTCTCAGCATTGCATATAAATAAATAAATAGATAGATAGATAGATAAATAAATAAATAAATGTCTATCCACTACTAAAAATATTTTATAAAAACCTTCCAGGGGCTGGGGATGTGGCTCAAGCGGTAGCGCGCTCGCCTGGCATGC